GGCTATTTCTGAAAGTGACAGTTGCGAATCGGTCAAACGAGCAAAAGGCCCAACCAATTAGCGTGACGGCGTTCAAAACGTACACGCATACGCAACGCATGTCAGCTCATGATTGCCATAAATGACATCTAATTAACGACAACTACACCGATATCAGATTGCCATTTATGCAAATGTTAGCGAGACGTTTGTGACGGAATGTCGCCACTTTGAGTTTACGTCCCTCGTTTCATTTCTTTTGTTTCTATCTTGAGAGCCATGGTAGACCTGACTGTTTCTGTTGTATTTTAAGGAACTTTGGTAAGTGTCTTTATGGATGACGGGGTACGCAGCCCAAGTGATTCAGACGGAACAGGGATTAGCATCAAGTCCAATAAATCTAACTGATCTGTCAATTATATGATAATCTTGACAAATCATTCTAAAATGTCTATATTGCTGCTAACTTAACGCTCAGTTCATTCATATATTCCATTCACGTACTGCACTCTTTTAGTGGAATGACGTTCATCGTGTGCTCCCTTTTGGAACTGGCCATTGTAGACTATTTATCTCAGGTAAGGAACCGGAAGAAACTCAGGAAAAGAAAAATACCGCGTGCCAGAACCTCACCCATATTTTGGACTTCCAAGGGCTCAGCATTCTTTCGCCAGGAGCCAGGTACTGAAGAGTCGGGAACGTACCGCGACTTTGCCAAAATTCAGTATCTGAACTTGAGCACAACAGTGCACAAAAGTGGCTTCCGGTCACTGCTAAAAATGCGGACCACCGCGTGGACGCCGGAGGAAGTGGACAGAATTTCGGCCATCTTGTTTCCGACAACCTTTCTCATCTTTAACCTGTTTTACTGGGGATATTACATAGGATTTTCGCGAATAAAAGATATCGAATACTCTATAGACAAACAATAGTGCTTTTTTGTTTAGGTGTGAGATAAAATAAACAAGTTTGTCATAAGACACATCTGGGCTGGTGAGCTTGCGTCTGTATTTATAAGTATATCTTGAAGCAGTGGTCAGCTTTGATCACTGCTTGTCCTTTCGGGTCACGGAAAAAGACACTCCAGGCAGGGTCTCCTACATTCTCGATAATGTAAATTTGCAGCCTTTGAGCTTCAGCTGAAGATGGGTCAAATTCCGCCAAGCCACTTGCCCCAGGCCTTTCTTGACCATCCACAGAAACTGCGTTCGGCAGGTTGATCAATCAGTGCCTGGTTCCCCTCCCCTTCCTTTCACCTATTTACAGAATATCGCAACTGTGACTTTTCAGTCTGGAAATTCTTTGAAGCAATCATTTTCATGGTTATAAAGAAAATAAATGGGTCAGATATGCCTTTACTATCAGTTAGCGTAAAAATTTCTTTTCCCTTTTAGTTTTTTTATTTACTGCTTTAAGCTTGTACTGATTACTTCTCAACAATTTCAAGTAGCTGTTTAAGCCAAATACATCAAACTTTGAAGGGAACGA